AAAAAAAAAAAAATTCCATAAATTAACATCCGAACGTCCAGACAGTCATCTCTTCAAGAGACGACTATGTGAGATGGTCGCTCTCGAACGACCACACTTCCGTTTTCAAATTTCGGGTAATAAGGAGCAAAAAGGAGCAATTAGGATATAACCTCAACCTAATTATATATGTAATCATTGGCTGAGACTTGGAATCAAAAGTGGTATAATTACAAATTAACCTGGTAAGGGTATTTTACTGAGATACCACTTTGGTATAATTACAGGCTTTACGGATGATTGTTATTTCATTCGGCAATATCCTGGCTCTAATCTGGAAGGTTAGATAATTATGGACTCATTATCCATTGTTTTACCAAAGTGATAGATTAAGTTGTGGAGTCCTAAACAATGGACTCATTATCCACGAGATCAGTTCTAATTCCACTGATTAAAATATAACAAAACATGGCAGTTCTAATTCTTCTTGCCATTTATGCCATTTGATAGTTTGGTCATTTATTTATTTTGGCCATTTCTACCGTCGACTTGGGCTAAGTTGGATGGTGTTGGATTTGGGCCTCGTTAAGGGAAAAGCCCAAACCTTGCTTTATCAGTAACTCGGCGGGTCAAATCAGCTTGACCCGCTCGATGACCCCCGACTCAGTGGTCTCCGTCTCCTCCCTTCGTTCATCAGCTGAGCCTTTTCTGCAACTAAACTCTTTACAATGGCGGCTTTCCTTCTTCTCTCTTCTCCCTCCTTCTCCTGCCACAGGTTTTTTCCTTTTCCCCCTCTTCATTCCCATCTGAGTTAACATTTCGCAACTGGGATGCCTTCTTTTGCTTCTTACAATTCTTCTCTCCGGATTTTTTCCTATTACGTTTATGTCTTTGTTTACTGGTTTATTGGTGTTTCATTTCGTGTCAACTCTGACTGACCGCTGGATTGCATTAGTTTGGCTGTGTATTTTGCTTCTGCTACTTAATTACTCGAGATTTCAATGATGTTGCTTCTATATTCATTTCTTTTTAGCGTCCTTTCGAGGTTGGTGGCATTGCCTTTACCAAAATTTCCATGCTATTTAATTCTACTCGCACCAATTACGTGAAAATATGCCCCAATTTTAGACAATGGATGCGGGTGCTGATCTATTTCCACGAGTCAAATATTAGGATTACACAGAGTTATTACGTTTGTTTTCAAGTCAATCTATGCGTATTCACAACTATTAAATTGTTGATTAAGATGCTCCTTGCAGTTTCAGGAGATCAGTTATTCTAATATCTCTCTCTTGAACATCTTAGGATGAGCGAAATCTGTATGTGCATGCAGTCATTGCAGTTGCAAAAGGGCATCAAATTCACATGCACCTCTGTTTGTCTCCAAAGACAGAAATGTAATGTCAAGCTTTATGCGGTACCTGTTAGAGCTTTTTCTTGTCACTCTTCCTCAACACCATCTGCTTCTAGTAGAGCTGATTTAAGGTGGGGTCGGAGAAAACATGTTCCTTCAACCTTCACAGCTCCAAATGGTTATCAAAGGTTGGGATCAATTTGGTAATTTAATTACTGTCATTTAGAATGCTGTTAAGAGTTGCCTATGACGTCCAAATAAAATATTGAATGACGGTTGTTTACTTTTTTAGCAGTACTGGTCACGTGCATTACCGAACTGATGAGAACAACATCAGTGAACTTGAGAGTCAGTTGGAAGAATTATTCAATGAAGTTAGAATGATGATTATGAGTGGGAGGAAGAATGATGCTGTAGAGTTACTTGAAGCAAATTATGAAGCTGTAAAAGAACAGATGGAATCAGGTGCTAATGGAATTGAACAAGCTGCTGTCCTTGACATCGTGGCTTTGGGGTATATAACTGTTGGAGACTTGAAGTTTGTTGCTTCTATATTGGATATAGTAACTTCTTTTTCCCTAATCATCTGTACAATAATTTATTTGAAAAAATCATTGCTTGTCAGTTTTGTGCAACAAAGTTTTAACTTCATGGCATGACTTGTTAGGATTGTTTTCTGTTTTAGGCTATCATCTAACCATAATTGCAATCAGGGGGCTTTTAGAGTTTGGGCGATGTAGTGTTCACTTTATGATGGCCGATATGTAGACAGATGACATGCACATATATAGGACTCATAAACTCTATATTCTTTTATCTCTTGATGGCATTTTGGTTCTGTTTTCTAAATTACATGAGCATGTTTTCTGGTGCCTTTATCTTGCTCAAAGACACATGGTCATCTAGTAATGCAGTCTCATCTTAGGTGATTTTGCCGTAATAAAGAGGTAACTTTTAATATTTACCTCATTCTTACGCTCCAAAAGTATCCAATATCTTCTACAGCCAAAATTTTAATTGCCGTTGTAATTGTTAGTTGCCCAATCTTCTAGTCTTTAATTTTCTCCCGAGTGGCATTATTATTTTTTCGTTTCCTTCTTCTGATGGGTTTTCGTATATGCAGTTGAACAAGGTTGTTGACAATCTGAAGGACGGTGAACCATTTCTGGATTCAGTGCTTCTGCATATGGGGAGCATGTACTCTACCTTAAAGAAGTTTGAGAAATCGATGTCTGTGTACAAGAGGGCTATTGATATCATAGAGAAGAAAAGTGGTGCGGTAGCTAGTGGGGACAAGTATTTAATTGTCCATCTGATGCTTTTCTTATGATTTTTCTCAAGTTCTCCTGTTACAGTTTACTTTATGATTTTATACATCTATCACCACCTTATATTTCAGGGTCTAAACTTGTAATTTAACCTTTTTTTATAAGACCATAAAAGAAGAAAATATAAGAAGCTATTTTCTTGGGTTGAAATACACTGCAATAATTGGGTTGGTCATTTTAGTTGATCTTTGTCTCGTTATCGTTAGTTCTCTCCTTTGCAGGAAAAGACAGTAGCTTACTTATCACTCCAATTTTAGGGATGGCAAAAGTTATTGGTACCATTGGAAGAACCTCAAAAGCAGTACAGTTTTACCATCGTGCTATTTCAATTTTGGAATCAAGCAGAGGCTTTGAGAACGAGGATTTGGTTATACCTCTATTTAATCTGGGCGATCTTTTGCTCAAAGAAGGAAAAGGAAAGGATGCAGAAGCTTGTTTTGCGAGGTTCTCTCTCTCTCTCTCTCTCTCTCTCTCTCCTTCCCTCCTTCCTTTGGATTATTCACTAAACTTGTATGCTCTTATCCTTAGGATTGTGAACATATACAAAAACTTATATGGAGAGAAAGATGGAAAAGTTGGAATGGCTATGTATTCTCTGGCTAATGCAAAGTGTGCAAGAGGTAACTTCTGTGTATATGTGACGATACGAGTTCCTCCATTTGAGAGGTCTGTCATTTGTAGCATGTTGTTCATTTCTTGTCCGTCATTTGAAGCATGTTCTTCCACTTGTTCATAGGGGAAGCAGAGGAAGCTGTTATCTTATATAGAAGAGCTTTACAGATTATCAAGGATTCAAATTATATGGCTTTAGATGACAGTGTGATGGAGAAGATGAGGATTGATTTGGCAGAATTACTACATGTTGTAGGAAGGTAAGGTCATACTGATACTGGGATTATTTTCACAGTAAAATTTTGTGTTCATGAATTCCTGGAAATTGGTTTATTACAGAGGAAATGAAGGCAGAGAACTGCTAGAAGAGTGCTTGCTGATCAATGAGAAGTCAAAAGGAAAAGACGATCCTAGTTCGGTGAAGCACCTCGTAAACCTTGCATCATCTTATTCGCGGTCAAAGAACTATGCAGAGGCTGAGCGTTTGTTGCGAATGGGATTGAACATTATGGTTAAGGCAGCTGGAGCAGATGATGAATCAATTACGGTCCCAATGCTGCATCTTGCTGTCACTCTTTACAATCTAAACCGGGACGAAGACGCCGAGCAACTTGCGCTGGAAGCTTTGCGAATACGGGAAATTGCATTTGGAAAAGATTGTCTTCCTGTTGGTGAGAAAACTGAGAATTGCTTATTTTTGTACTTGGTTGGACAATCGTTTTCTGGTGACTTGATTTGTGATGTACTGGACGCAGGTGAGGCTCTAGACTGTTTGGTTTGCATTCAGAGCAGGGTGGGGAAGGATGAAAAGGAGCTACTGAATATGCTGATGAGAATTCTGAGGATTCAGGAGAAAGAGTTTGGGATGGAGGGTAAAGAGGTAATTGACACCCTCAAGAAAATTGTGTTCTACATGGACAAACTAGGAATCAAAGATGAGAAGTTTCCACTTCAAAAACGACTGTCAATGCTTCGAATGAAATTCAAGAACCAGATGCAATACTAAATACTAAATACTAATGGTATTCATCATTCATCCATCTTTCTGAATCTTCTTGTGATTTGATTTATATATTCAATTTCTCATCATTTCATTTTAGGTTATCTTTTCACCATCTTTTCAATCACTCAAATCTCAAGCCTTCTCCCCTCTTGCCTCTTGCCTCTCAATCTCGTTTTCTCCTCCCTTCTTAGATTGTTCATCGTCGGTAGTAGCTACTGGTCCACCACTCGTCGCTGATGTAGCATTAATCTCATCGCTCGTCCCGTCGTGAAGTAGATCTTATTGTGTCGTTCCATTGAAAGTAGATTCTCCATCTTCGTGCTGCCTTTCTCCTCCATGCATCTTCTCCATCTCCTCATCTTTTTCATCTTCACATGATTCTCAATTTCTCACGATTTCATCTCTTTATGTCTCTCAGTGCTCTTTCTTTAAAAGTTCTCCTATTCATTTTTCTCAGTCCAGATAAAAACAAAAACAAAAACAAAAACTCGGTTACCCAACCCAACCATAATATTCGATTCTGTCGATTCCTTAATTTGACCAACCTAAAAATTCGGATTGGTCCAAAAAATTATTCTAACCCGACCCAACCCAACCCGTGAACACCCATAAACTCTACAATTAGACTAATTAAGTCCCCAGATTTAATAACTCTAGGTTAACAACTCCACCTTGAGGTTTGATAAATTTTATTGAAAAAAAAAATTCATGCAATTTCGTTGGAAGACTTGGTAATAGTGGAAACGGTCATAATTAGCTCAGGATTAAGATCGAGTTACCTAGGCCATCAAAGTCGAGATAGTCAGTTTCAAACAGTAAACGGTGTTATAAAGTAAAAGTGACTATCTCATGATCCGRTCTTATGCAAACTCTTTGCACGGGACACCCCCACTCGCATGTCTTCACATGAACGAATTAGGATCACATCGTTTGTACTAGCTACAAAGTGGGCCGCATCTATAGTGTCCCCAAAATAAGRCGYCCAACCTTATTCCTATACTATRGACCATTTAGACTGTTAAATCAAACTTGATCCATATTTATGTCTCTTACATAGMGTTTGAGTCTCAGGTAACAGTCTARGATCCTTTATTTTATTGGATTTAGATCTAGTAAGAATATTTTATTGGATCAATAACTACTTATTGATTAAAACCTTCAATAACAACTTTATTGAAAGATAAAAGTATATCTGGTATTTTCAAACTATGAGTTTCAGGACATAAAACCCAACAATTGAATCAATTTTCTTTCAACTATCATACATTTATAAAAATTTGAAAATTATCGTTTTTTCCCATCAAAATCACATCCGAAGCAATTTATGACGGTTTTTTTTCAATTTTTTTAGTGTTCATAACCGTCATTGAAGCCTATTTTTGTAGTAGTATTAAGGATACCATCTTCATTGAGATAATTTAGGTAGAGGCTAAAAATAAAATCATATATGCTTAGTTTTGAAAGTAGATAACTTGTATGGGGAAATCAAGTCAAGCTTAGTGAGCTACAAAATGCTTAAATTAGGTCCAAAGAGGAAAGACCCAAATGGAGGAAATCAACAGGAAGGCCGAGGCACGACATACACAAAGGGGTCGCGATCCGAATCGATCAAAGCTGACCAGTTCTCGACCACCTGCGGAGAACTCCAATAAAGCCCTCTGGCAGCCCCATGGAGATCGAACCGAACCTACCCGGCCCGCTTGATAAAAGCTATCTACTACAGGCCACCGGTCCTTAGTTCAATATTTGGCCCACAAGATGCCCACAACCCAACAAGGTATATTTCCTAAGGGCATCAGGATTCAAACTCTATAAATATAAATATAACAGTAAGCTGAACCCTAAAGGTGCACTGAAAACCCTTTTCTCAGTACTCGTCAAACTTCCGATTATAACTTAGGCATCAAAGCCTGTGTGGCTAGCACCATGTTGCATGCTCACAACTGCGGTGAATACCAGTGCAAGTGTACACTATATTTGTCAGTTATAGTACAAACAAGGTCGATTCCACCGGGACTTAGTGTAAAAATTCAAGATTATGTTCAAGAATACCAAATATTGCAAAGAAATAAAATGGTAAAAAGTTGTATTGAAACTATAAGCGACTAAACATGAAAAAAAATATAGTAAATGACTCCAAGAGATAAGACACAACCTACGAATTCTGAAACAGGAAAAACTCTAGTACAGAGAACAAAATAAGGGGGAACTAATATAGAATTAAGATGAGGGAGACTCCTTAACTTTCACTCAACTTCAGGCTACACTCTAACATAACATTGCTACTGTTGCTCAAATCGACATGGTTCCTTTTGAGACACCCAAACATGAATTCTCAAAATTCTTGTTGCTAGATAACCCAAGCAGTAAAAACGAGTTCTAAACATGGTTAGGGGACCCTATACCTAAGTATCCACGAACCTACTAAAGAAAAGTAGTTAATCCACAAATAGAACAATTCATACTAATCGTATATCCTTCCGGATCATTATAGAAGCTAGCTAACTGAATAAAGTTGCCAAAAATGTTTATCAAGATGAAAAAATACACACATCTTTATTTTACAGCATACAAAATCAGCTAGAGTATTACTTGTTCGTAAGTTACAGCATAGAAATCTGCACCGAAATGAGGTTTAGTTCATGGGGGAGGGGGAAAATGAAATGGGGTAAGTAAAAAAAGCAACACATTTTTAAGAAGAAAACAAAAATGTTGTCTAAAAAGTCCCCAGCCACACGAAACCGACAACTTCCTCTTTTGTTGTCAGCTTCTTCCTAAAAAATGGACGATTCCCTTCCTTTTCATCAGCTACACACAAGGAATGTTTCTCTCTTGGGATTTGTGTGTGTCGGTTGGTTCCTCATTTCCCTTTTATATTGGGCCCTAATTTTAGGGCACTTAACTGGTATTTGTACGGACATGGTAAAAATTCTCGTGTGGGACAATTACTGCGCTGTGACCCTATGCTACCGCATCTAACTATTCCAACTCTGCATGCTTTGACATAATGATGCTTCTCCACTTCTCCTCTAAGTCTGATGCTCTTCTCTTAACTTCGTCCTTCAGCTTTTCTTTCTGCACAAAGGAACCAATAAAGGAGAAATAAGCATAAACTCATGCCAAAACATCAAATTAAGGGATTAGAGCTCATTCTTCAAATTCAATATCAATTTCTTACTCACATGAGATAAATCAGACACACAACTTCATTCTTTTGCACAAAATTACCCAAATCATTACCACAATAACTCTCTTTTGGAGAATTATCACACCACATCGGTGTTCAGTGCTATTTGTTTTGTAGGTTAACGTCTGTTCCTGATTTCATTATTAACAATTGATGCAAATTTGACGGAATCTAGAGAAGCCAAATTTCTACATCAACAACAACGATAAAGATATATGATGAATTTTATTTATAGTCATACCCTAACTCAATTATATGGATGATATATGAAATCCTTAGTTTTATTGTACCATAATAGAAAGAAGGTTGTTCTATCAAAATGGTGATGTAATTACATTTTCATTATGGATGTACAAGTAAAAATAACATCTTCATTGATATGTACGAAAAGTTTTCTATATTTTTTTAGTATGCTGATGCGTGGATTTCGGTCCTCCGGTTCACTACCGCACATCCACCAAACTTGTTGATCCGGGACTAGTACCTGCAAAATCAAATCGAGCTAAACCGGTGTGACTCTAGTCACACGGGCTCCGATGCTTAAGTTAGCAAGAGAATAACGTAAATGTAGTCAACTCTCTTCCCCCTATACCTCTAAGGCTGGATCAATACTTATAGCGTGAAGTTGTTCCAGAATCTTCCGTAGCTAACCCTAATTCACCGTTGCAGGGCCTGGGCGACATCGTCGATCGAAGACGGGGGATCACTGGCTGGGCCGTGGGCCGAGCACGGCTCGGGACCGAGCCCCGGGTCG